TCGTTGTCAACCTCGAAAGATGCCGAACAGCACTTTATCAAAACTCCTTCATCCATAGAACGGCTAGGCTCTGGAATTCATTGCCTGTGGAAGTGTTCCCAACAACATATAATCTCCAGAAGTTCAAAAAGAATTCCAATACCTACCTCCTATCCCTATCCTCCCTAGGAACGCACGATGTTCTTTGAACATTATAGGGATTCCCTCTCGTGCGCTCCAAGCGATAAAAAAAAAAAAAAAAAAAAAAAAAAACGAAACGTCGCATAAAAAAATCGGTATCATCACGTTAAACCTCATCAAAAGTTGCAATGAAAAAGTATTTTCAGTTTTTCTGTATCTCTGATAATAACGGAGAAAAAAAATAAAATAGAAATTCAAAAAATTCACTTTTTTCGATATAACTCAAAAACTAAAAATAATTTTCAAAATTTTCGAAGGCTCTTGATATGAGCCTCCGAATGCGCAACTTTTTCCCCATTTAAGCGACTTCGTATCTCCTACCGTTTCCGAGATCCCCATGCTGTTCAACCTTATCTTGGACAGACTGTATATCCATTTTTTTTGTCCATAAATATATCCGAGAATATATTTTTTTCAATAGTAGACAATTAATTCATCACGATCTACTCCAGTAATACATTCTCATTATGAAAATCGACTAGAAATATGATTTTGTTGCGAATTTTCAATATTTACTATTTGGTGAACAATTATACCAGCTGACGGGGACGACCATTCGCCATTCTGCATTCTGCCATTCTTGCCATCTGCCATTCAATTATCAAGAACATGTCAAATATGCAAAAATACACTTTCACAGTATATAGGCAGGTAAATGAGGAAACTTGGAATTCTTCCAATAATTCATATCGCACAGCTAGTTTCAGCCTTCAATCTGTTGACATTTGACAACCATTTGACATCTGAAATTAAATGGCTGTCAGCTAGCATGATTGTTCAGTCACTATGGAGAAAATCAAAAAATCATATTTTTTCACTACTAGCTCTAAAACCTACCATTATTCACTCCTTTTCCAGGCATAAAGTGTGTTTTTGATACCAAGGTAGTTTTCGTCATTTTATTAACCACTAGGCAATAAAGCATAGCTACAGGTATGGTTTCCTTCACGCCGTCAGCGGCTGCCGTTGGAAGCATGCCGCTGAAGGTTGCCGCTGACGGTTTGATTGGCTGGTTTCCCCTACACCGTCGACAGTATATACACACACACTGGCACAATTAGGGGAACGGGCAAAATTTACAAATTGACATCAATTTTCTTTCGAACCGATCGCTCGATTAAAATTTTTTTCTTCACGAAATGTAGCTTCATTCTTCACGAATATATCTTAGAAATAATCACCTTCAAACGATGAGTCTTTCCATCATATACAGGGGTGTAAAGAAAGTACGGATTTTTCGGTATTTTTTTAGACATCCTGTGTGAACCACTAATAATTGCAACGATTTCTCAACACCAAATTGAAGCCCAATCTATTCCGAATATTTTCGTTTTTAATTCATCTTGATATCTCAATTATTCAAGAAAACACAGAGTTTCAAAGGAAAGGTGGATATTGGTATCAATTTTACACCTCAAAACTCAAATTGGATATGAAAATGTGTCGTTTCTTGACTAACCTAACGTAACCATGACTAAACCTCTACCATAGGAGACAGAAGCAGTAAAATCAAATTGTTCATTTTGTTCACCTCGGCGATATAGTATTTCCCTGCCATCTATTGAATTGGTGCAGATGCCGCTCTCATATTACTTATGTTAAAAGAACATTGGCCCACTGATGGTCATTTTCAATTAATGATACAGCCCTCGCCACATCAGTAAGAGTCAAATCTCTCACGTTGAATTTTCATTAATCAAATTTATGAATTATGAATCGCTTGACTTTGACAATAATTAATGACATTGACAAAAGAGCCAACATTGATTACCAAAAACAGCATTTCACCAAAAGAACATTGGAGCAACTTTTATCACCCCTGCATATTCATGAGAGTATTCATATATGTGTCTTTAAACAGTAAACCGATAGGTAAAACTGTGACCAATTCTCGTCTTGAAGTAAAAATCCTCACAGAAACAAGTTGAAAAACGACAAACGACACGTTCTCCCCAGTTCAAGTTTCGTGGTGGTAAAATTAATACCAATATCCACCTCTTCTTTGAAACTCTATATTTTCTTGGATAATTGGGATATCAAGATGAATAAAAAACGAAAATATTCGGGATAGATCGGGCTATAATTTGGTGTTGAAAAATCGTTTCAATTATCAGTGGTTCATTCCACAGGATGTCTTAAAGAATACCGAAAAATCCCTACTTTCTTTACACCCCTGTATATGATATAAAGACGAATCGTTTGGAGGTGGTTATTTCTCAGATGTATTCGTGAAGAATGAAGCTACAATTCGTGAAAAACAAATTTGAATCGAGTGATCGGTTCGAGAGAAAATTGATGTCAAACTTAGTGTAAATTTTACCCGTTCCCCTGTGTGTGTATTATCTTTAAACAACGTCCATGGATGGTTTTATTGCCGGGGTGCGAAATTAGGAATGATCAGAAAAGATATGCTTTGTGCCTCGTTTTGCTACAAGAAGAGGAAGAAGATGACTTTTTATAATCCTTATTCTCACTATTATATATGCAAGGATGTGAAGCCACTGCATGAACTAAATTTTCAATTTCGCGTGCCGAAAATTTCAGTCTGGTTGACATTTTATTAAGTCGACTACAAGTTGAAACACGCCGCGGCGACTTTGCGATGCGTTTTGACTCCTCGACCAGCAGTGCAATTATACGTCCATAAGGAAACCGCTTGTACGTATTTTCAATTCAAGTAGTGGATGTGTTTGGCGGCATGCTTTCAACGACAGCCGCTAACGGCGTGAAGGAAACCATACCTTAATTCTGTTATAATTAACCCGAATTCACTGTTATGATGCGTGATTCAGTTTCACAAAACTAAAGTGATTGAAATATATTGCTAGTGGTAAAACAAATTTAATATACCTACACCTTGGTAGTGAAGAATATTATTACCACGGGACCATATACCCCTCGGCTGAAGCCTATCGGGATATAGAGTCTTGGGGTGAAACTGATATTCTTCACTATCCAAATAGCTGTGAATCAGTAAATGCGTGTCCAAAGACAGGCGAAAAAATAAGGAGAAAAGATGCAATATCAAGAGTCACTCGAAAATATTGAATAGGTTAGTAGTGAAAGAAAACACCACACTGTAAGAAATCCTTTTGAGTGACTGCAAATTTGGTAATGAGTTAATCTACTGAGTGAATTTTTTGAGTAAATATTCAATGAAATCTGGGTATTTTCACAATTCCTTCCAATTATGACAATGTTCATGACAAATTTTATTGAATAGCACAAATTTTGGAATAAAACAAACAATATTATATGTTTCAATTATTCTAAATGAAGAAGAGCCAGCTCGAGACTATGCAGAGGCCGTTTTGTCCAATTGATAACGCAGCGTCAGTCTTGATGGAAGTTCAGTGCATAAAAACAATCCTGTACTTTCCATTTCAGCGAAGTGAATTGTAATTGAAGTTCGAGCAGAAACATGTTATTCGCATTATTATATCTGTGAAGTTTGGGAATACTTACTGCGGGTAAGTTTAATTTCGTAAAATACATGATGGCTTTCAACAACATGGCTGATGATCGTGCATTGTATTGAATAATTCAAATATTCATTTGGATGATGTGATTCTTAAGAATTATATTGCATATATAGTGTTGATTTATATCCGATTACCTTGACGTTCAGATAAATCAATATACTTATTCTTCTGTTGAATAGTCCATATCGCCGTTGATGTATATCACAGCCATGCACGGCCATATTCGTGTGTTTGCTTTTCACTCAATAGTGACTGAAAATTATTGAAATAAGAGTATTTTGAATCAGAAATGAGTTAATTGAATCATCATTGATCACATTATTTCAAAATTAGGTATATTGAATCTTAATTGAGAAAGTGTTATCAAAACTGATCGAATAATTCAATTGTGATCATTCATTGAGATCGATAAAATATTTGTTTGATACGTTATTGGTGAATTTGTCTCTATTTAGGTAACAAACCCAGAATACATTTTTGAATCAGCTGTTCATCTATGCATTTTTCGTCTGCAGATTGATGTGACTGTCAACGTGTCAACGAGCTTGTAAGTAAGATTTTGCGCAGCGAGAAGAAGCCATACTTGATTTTGGAAGGCGAGACCGCATGTACTGATGATTTCAAATTGTGTTAGCCTTGTTTTTTATTTGGAGTACATTGTGATTGTGATTGAATTGTAATCTACTCTGATTTTCAATGAACTTTTGTACTATATATCATATTTACTCAATATTGTATAAAACCAGTCATCAAAAGATTCAAAATACTCATTTTGGGTATAAAAGCACTCAATAATGGGCATATACATACTCAATAAATGTTCTAGGCACTCAAAAATGAGTTGAAACTCACTCAAGAAATTGCAAAGCTGAAATAATATTCAAATCTGAACTGGGAACATCGACTCAATTGTGATTTCTTATATTCACTCATTCAATTACCATTTCACTCAGTCAAGTAGAGTGAATTTTCAACTCAATCGGGCGTGGACCGAAATTGAGACATTATTGAGTGAAGTTTGAGTGAAAATTCACTCATTTTTTTTTTCAGTGCATAGAGGTCACGTTTCGGTCCAAAGTTGTTTCAGAAATTCGAAAATTTCACAATACAAAGGTTACATTTGAAAATTGAAAACTGAAGTCATTTCAGGTGAAACCGATGTTCAAAGTATTCATGAATGTCATGTCCATATTGAAAGATCTCATTCATTTCGTCTTATTGCAATAACGAAAGTTCACATCATGAATATGTGTCCTAGCTTACTTGATTTTCAAAATATCAAGGTAACGTTCAATAGTTTTTTCATAATTCTATTGAACATGTACTTATTCATATATTGAAATGAACACTTTAATAGTTTCCAACCTCCAAGATTTATACACAAAATTATATATAAAAACATTGTAAAAAATCGCATAGACAAGGCAAGGTAGGAATAAGTCAGAAAAAGTTTGTAGAACAACCTATATAAATTCAGATGACTCTCTCACTTATTCTACTGCCAAAATCACTACATACACTATTCTGTTTCTCCCTAGGCCTTTCACCCTTAAAATACATTTGAATCTCTTCTAGAGTTTTTCCTTTGGTCTCTGGAACGAAGATAACGATACAAATCAGACCAATCACGCAAAATCCAGAGAAGCCAAAGAATGGTACGTACATTCCAAAAGAGTCTTTCATTATTTGGAAAAATTTCGAAACAATGATGGCTATACCAGCAAAATATATATCGGCTAAACAAAGAGCAAATGCTTTAACATTCGCTGGGAATAGTTCACCGAGCATCAAGAGAGGGATCGTCTGCATTCCGAGACTAAAAACTATAACAAAGCCTATCAAAGCTATCACAGGGATGAGTGAAAACGGTTCCATATCCACTTCCGTACAAGTTACGAGGTAGAAGTATATTCCTTCAACGAATAAGAGAACAGCAGATCCAGTAATAGATATTATCATCAGAGGTCTCCTTCCAGCTTTATCTACAATGCCAGAGCAGAACATAGCTAGTAGAAGTTGCACAGCGAAATACACTATACTAGCAATCGCCGGTGAGATGTTACTTCCAGCTTCATTGAAAATTGGTTGCGTATAAAACGTGATGGCAGTGGTTCCGCTGAGTTGTTGAGCAGCTCTAACCATCAACATTATAAACACAGCTTTTCTGTTGCTTTTTACTGTAAAGAGGTCCAGAAATTTTCCTGAATTCAACATTTGAGATTTGACTGCATTACTGATGCGATTGAGTTCGGTTTCTACATCTGTGACACCTCTGAAGGTTTGAAGACTTCTCTGAGCACCTTCTTGATTTTCTTTCATCAACAAGAAGTACGGTGATTCAGGCATCCATACAAATGTTAACAAGGACAGTATTGGCAGAATACTGCAAATCAACCCAGTGACTGCTATACTCAGGTATGAACCTAATATATTGATGAGAAGAATTCCGAAGATCCAAGAAACTGAGATGCTAGTTCCAAGCCTTCCTCTGATCTTAGGATCAGCAATTTCTCCAATATACATAGGAACAGCTGTAAATACCCATCCATCAGCTACTCCAGCTATGAACCTGGCAGTGTACAGGAGTAATATAGATCTGGCATAGGCTACCATGATCCAGGCAGCAAAATATGGAAAGGAGGATAGAAGTATGGTTTTCTTCCTTCCCAGAATGTCCACTATCACTGCAACTATGATAGAGCCAAGAACAGCCCCGATCAGAGGCGTCACTGCTACCCATGAGCCTTCAGAGTCTGTGAGTGGAAGGGTCGAATTCGTATCTAGAAGTCTCGGTAGAGATGGAGATGGCCAACCATAGTGCATTCCGCTTGTGATGATGGACAATGTAGCTGAAATTAAAGAAACGATGTTATTAAATTAATTAACTAATTATAAGGAAATGGTTCTCCACCTCTCACCAGTGGAAAATCGTTGTGTGTAAGGTATATTTTTTCGTATTCGAACATTTCTCAACCATTTTCAAGATGGCGGATGTTGCGTCAGAAAAATTATTTATTCACAACCATATATGTGATGTTGTTATTACAAACGTCATTGAAGGTTGGTGAATGTCACATTACACACCTCCACTTCTCGCCCTCCCTTCCCGCCCTTACTCATGTAATAATTCAGGTATGTTCAGAACGAAACATAGATTTATCAATTTCGATCGAAATATGATGGTTGTGAATAAAATAGTATACAAACCTATCGGTAGGAAGTTTCATTCCTGTCTCGAGATTTAAACTAACCTCGACGCTTTACTAACTATCTCACGACAGGAATGAATCACTTAGCACCTCGGTGTGTAATATACTATTTCTCCTTTTTGTTTCTCATTTTCTGAAATGATATATCCTTCTGAACATGTTTCATCTAGGAAGTTCCTTTTTCTTCACTTGGTTGATAGCTCATATGGTTATCCTGAAGTTTAGCATTCTCAAATGAATCCCAACCGACCCAACCGTAATAAAAATATTGTCGGCTGAGAAACACACTATTTTATAAACAATATGAGTAAGGAGGCATTCTGCATCCATATTGAAACGGATTGAAGCTCAAACTCGGTCTACTTGATTCTTATTACGGCAGAATATGATGAGATTTATTTGAAAATAGTATGTTGAGGATCCCAAAGCTTTCGACCAAATAATATCAAAATATGGAGACAAAAATGCTTACTTCCTGGGAGAAAGTTATTTGTTTTACTAAGCAGCTAAGTGGAAGATTGACTGCCGCGGATGACAATTCATATAGCCAAGCGTAGCGAGGCTAGGAATATAGCTAAGTTGAACAAAAGAAAGATTTTGTCTACGATTGTTAATGATGTCAAATGGAACCAGTATATTTGTGAAAATGTTTCGACTAATGTTGAAGTAGGATCTAGGAGGCGAGTCAAACTAGTGATAAAGTGAATGAGAAGAGAACTCTATCTGAAGAAAGAGAAGGTGGCCTATTTATCCAAAATTGTTTCGGTAACAAATAGAAATATAATTCAAATTTTTTCTCAGAAGTATTATGTAATAATCGCTAAAGAATGTTTTTCTTAAAAAATTATCGAATATTCTATTCCCATTGAGAACAATCACTTCGTTGCAGGAAAGTTTCGACTTTCTTGCCTAGGCAAGAAAAGTAATAATTTGCAGATCGTTATGTGTCTGCAAAACTAATATTTGCAGTCAATTGGAGAAAAATAGTTTTTTTTTTTGTCATTTCCGCCATTTTGAATGTGGTTGAAAAGTGTTTGAATACGAAAAAATACAGCTATTCATATCTCTTTTGCTAAATTTGCATTCGCAGTTTTGTTTTTCCTGATGTTATAAGCCAAGGGCGGGAAATTTTAATCACCCTGTATAGGCTGATCCATCAATAACGTATAGCCCGCATGGCATAACTTGTTGCATGAGGAAAGAGGAATGAAGAATACAAGTTTTTTGTCGAGTGGACAACTTTTGATGCAAAAAACATTGCAACTTTCTGAGTGGGGGGGGGGTGTCATACCTGGAATTTCTCAATATGATAACTAATCGATCAATCAATCAAAAATATGCTTTATTGTCTAAGAAAAATTACTTATTGACAAAGCGTTGAATTATACTATCACAAATAATAAGTTACCTGATAAGTAAGTAGAAGTAAAATACTATAATAATTATAAATATTGGTTTGAAAGAAGTTCGTACCTACATATAAATATAAATATAAAATATAAAAGAATTTATAAAATCACAATATAAACACATTAAAATAATAAAACTTCCTGAATGGTTATGATATATATATACAGTATGATGCAACTGTACGGAATAAATTAATTTCAAAACAAGACGACTTTCGAAAAAAAAAACAAGAACTAGAGTTTAAAACTTTTTTTTCGACGTATTTTTCGATGTTCAATTCTTAGTAGCAGACCTCTGCAAGATTCAATTAATCACATGATAATCCATTTTAATTTCAATCTTCTCATGCAACATTTTGACTGTTGAATAGACGATCGGTAGACCATTCAATCAAGGTGTCACATGACCCCCATTTGTATTTGAAAAAATCGTCCATTACGTCTTTACTCCAACACCGGTGACGTAACATCTCTCATATGAATATCATGAGATGAGGCTTCTGAAATTAAAACTCACGTGTTTTTGGAATTTTTTCGAATGTCGCCCATTTCTGAAATAATGAATTCATTTCATACATTTGCATCATACTGTATATATTATATAACCATTTTTCACTGTAATATTCTTCTAGGTAATAGTAGTAATAGTAGTCATTGAATAGGGCTTTTATTTCCATATACATCGCTACTTAGTTCTTGATGACAAATAATTCGCGGAATCATTTTTTTTTCAATATTCTACACCTCACCCACGGCCCCAAAAAACTTGGGATTAGGCATAGGGTCAAGGTTCATGAAACGGGCTAAATAATTCCTACGATAAACTTTTCACCTAGCAGACACTGTTCGCGTGTCTCGGCGATGTTCTGAACATCATTTTAAAGACGATATTTTCAAACTTCTTTCGATTTTCCGCTAACTCATCGTTCGATACCAGAAATGGAAACACAAGGGTTCAGAGAGTTGGAAATTCATCAACACTATCTATGTCATGTAGATATGGAATATAAATAAAGAATTTCAGAAACAGTGTCTCAATGCTTTTATACGTGAATTATAAAGATGGAACTGAAAATTCGGGGATAGGCAATTCTCACCCCCCTACTGAAAATATGAAATGAAATAAAAATGTTTGTCAAAGAGATGTTTCGCCTGAATACTACCTCTAGGAAAGGTCATCAAGCTCCTCATTAAAAATAGTGATATCATTTTTACATATTGCGCGCTCTATACTATCCTACTCCTGAATCTCAACTTATGCTAAGTCCCTACCTACCGTTAACTACTAGTATATATAACTTAGATACTTCGAATCTGCGTTCAGCAATAATTGCTGATTGGGGAAAAGGTTTAATCTGATGCAACAGATCCCGTCTATTCTTCAGAGAGATCGGACATCGACCCATGATAGGGTTTCAAGTCTTGTATGTGCCAAACTCCGGCATTAGTAGAGTCATCTTCATTTTTAAGGATGAAAACTAATTTCGACTTCTTCTTTGCTACTGTGCAAAGTACAAAACGTGGAGCAAGTTTCTGGGAAAAATTATTACCTGCATTAGAAAAAACAAAACCTTTCTTCAAAACCTTCCAAAAATTCTTCATCACGTCTACCTAAAATAATAATACATAGGAGTCAAGTAATGTTTGTCGCTTATTCAACCAAAAAGATACATATATTATAATGATAAAGATGGAAAGCCCTAATTTCGAGTGACAATGGAAAATGAAAAAACTCCACCGCCCCGTGTGAGAGTCGAACTCACAACCTCTGTTACATGCCCAACGATCTTTCAATTGAGCTAATGGGTCATCCGTGTGATGACAACTCGACCTTCCTGCCGATTGATCGAAAACGAAAACAGCATAGTGAAAAGGGGATAATGAGGTAGGTACCCACTCCAGTGATACTGCAATAATTTACTCATCATTAGATCATTTTTTTAAATGAGGGTTCCATGAATTTTTATTCGAAATGTCTACATTTTCATGGAAAATTTTGTGTTGAAAGAATTTATATTGCTTTATTGAACATTAAGGTTCCTGCAACATAACATCAACACAACACAAAGCAGCAACTTCAAAAAGTTGAAATATTTCAACTCCATCGCGTCAAATATATTCCAAATTCAGAGATTCAGAGTCACCAATCAGGTTGCATGACGCGCGACGCGTAAAGCAAAATCGCTGCATTGAGAACTCACCTTCAGATGGAAAAATTGAACTTGAATTGAATTCGAAGCTGTAACGCATTTCCTATGAGGATGTCGATATCGAAAGATATCAAATAGAATCATGAATTGATTTCGAAAGAAAAAGTCGGTTCACTGCTACTGTTGAGAAGGTCACCTATTCTCGTAACTAGAGGAAGTTGTTATTTATTTTGATACTGTAACCAGCCACGCTTGCCCGCTTTTGTTTTTGATTCATGTGCACACTGAACAAATTCAAAAATAAACCGCAGTGTATTCACCGCTTCCCAAAATATCACCTCACTGTTATGTCTCTTTGTTTTCCTGGAAAGAGTGGAATGAATGTTCAGTTTCAGTTTCTGCATATGAATCTGCATCTCCTTCTTTATATCTCAATATTGAGACATTTTTTTGGAACGAGGTACTTACTTATATGGTAGGCAGTAGAGCAAAAGTTATGGAAATAACGTATTCAGAAATGAAGACATGTAATTTAAAGACACATATCATATTATGTGAATCTTCTCTACCTAATTCTGAGTTTTTCCAATGAAGCAATGTACTAAGTGCTTGTTAAAGCACTTAGAGCACTTTAGTGCTCATAACCACTGTGCTCAAGAGCACTTTTTTGAATCAGTGCTTATATATATATAGAACTTCGAGCATTTTACGAAATTGCTTTGTGCTTAGTAATCTCTAAGTGGAGTGCTTGGAAACAGTTATCGGGATCACTACTCGAATCACTATAAGTTTTTCCATACTTCATCATCAGCATTCCTTCTTCAGTATATCATTTAGTTAATGCCACACTCATGAATAATAAATCATTAGTGAAGCATTGAGCTCATTTTATGCTGTTTCGTTGATGTTTTGGGTACAATTCGATGTAAATTTATTTTTTTCATCGCTTGGAGCAGACGAAAGGAAATCCCTATAATGTTCAAAGAGTAATTCGAGTGTATATCAACAGTATCATTTCTTCAGAATGTGGTTAGTGCTTAGTGCTCGCCGATTTCGAATTACTTTTTGTCAATAAAAGTGC